GCCATAGAGAGAAGTATACACGTATCTTCAAAATTGTAAAATTTTACAATTTTACTTGAACAATATTTTTCAAAACTGAAAAAGTTTTTCCATTAAAACAAGAAAGAGGTGTATAGAAGAGAAAAATAAGAAAAACTAAGAGATTGAATGAGAGAAATAGACATAAAGAGAGGATTATACTCCGACGACCATTTTTGGTTTAGATTTGGCCGAATTTGATGTAGATTTACTCAGATCTACTCTAAATCTAAATATTCTGGTGAGTTGTCTTGTGATCTTGGCTACATCTAAGTAAATATATGTCAAGAATATCACCGAAAATTCTTTTTTTTTTTTTTTTTTGTTGTTGGTAAGGTCAAAGTAAGAAGTCGGTGTCGGTGGTTGTCGGTGAATCTCAATTGATGGTGGTCCCCAGTGACTGTATATCAAAAAAAGAAAGAGAAGAAGGAAGGAAACGCTTAAGGACTTTTGAGTTTACATAAAAGATTATGAGAATAAATAGAATTCTCCTATTTCAAAGAGGACATGAGAATAATTTGTCCATTATTTATTATTCTCAAAAGAGCAACTCTGGTAATGTGCTATTGCTAAAATCAATTATGATTGGTAGCTTGAAAATAATAAGGTTCGAATGGCCCAAGTCCAAAACGACGTTGTTTTGGATTTTTTTTTCCCCCTTCTTTCTCGTTTTTCTGAAGATGAAGAAGAAGATGACGAAGATGAAGATGAAGATGAAGAAGAAGAAGAAACAAGAAACAGAGAAGAGGGAGCTAGGCGTCATCATCAACAACATCTTCATCAACATCATCATCATCATCATCATCATCAACAATTTTTTCTTTTCTTTTCTTTTTCCTTCATCTTCAAATCCAAATCCACTAGAGATCATCAACAACAACAACACACATCATCATCAACAACAACAACAACCAACAATCACTACACAAACAACAACAACAAAAATGTAAAAAAAAAAATTGTAGAATCTGAAACAGAAGCAAGAGAAAACAAGAAAATTATAAAAAAATGAAAGCAAGATTTTTAAAAACTGTTTTTGGGTTTTGTTTATTTTAAGAAGTTGGGGCAAAACAAATTTAAAAAAAAAGGAGCTCTGGAAGTTGAACCCTAGGTTTGAATATAGATTAGAAAACAAACTACAGTGAAGGGATTTAAGTGCAAAGAAAGGGATATGGAGAAGGAAAGGAAGAGGTGAGGGGGGACAAACAGTAACAAACCAAAAAAAATAAATTAAGAAATGAACAAATCAATGAAGATGGAGGCCTCCACCCCATCGATCTTCTTTCTCTTCCTTCTCTTCCTCCTCTGCCATCACCACCATCTCCATCTTTTCTCTTTCTTCTTTCTCGCAGCTTCTTTCTTCCTATTCTCTTCTCTTCTCTATTCTCTCTTCTCTCTCTCTCTCTCTCACCTCTTCTCTTCCCTTTGTCTGTATTCAAAAGCAAGAAAAAGAGAAGAAAAAAAAAATACCCAAAACGACGTCGTTTTGAGTATTCGAGCCACTTTTGGGCCAACTTTTTCGAGCTACATAGTATTACTCTGCTAAATTGCTAGCATGGACCCTAAAAATTCTAGTAGTGTTTTTCACCATGCCAATTTTAGCATGATATTTTCCATGAGTAATACTTCGAAGCTCGAAAAAGTTGGCCTAAAAGTGGCTTAAATATCCAAAACGACTCTTCTTTTTTTCCCCCCTTTTTCTTGCTTTTGAATGCAGACAGAGGGAAGGGAAGAGGCGAGAGAGAAAGAAGAGAGAAGAGAAGAGGAAGAGAGAAGAGGAGAGAGAGAAAGAGAAAAGATGGAGATGGCAGTGACGGCGGTGATGGCGGAAGAGGAAGAGAAGGAAGATCGACGGCTGGAGGCCTCCATCTTCATTGATTTGTTCATTTCTTGATTTATTTGTTTGTTTTAGTTTGTGACTGTTTGTCCCCCCTCACCTCTTCCCTTCCTCCTCCTCCTCTATATCCCTTTCTCTGCACTCAAATCCCTTCACTGTAGTTTGTTTTCTAATCTATATTCAAACCTAGGGTTCAACTTCCAAAGCCCCTTTTTTTTAAATTTGTTTTGCCCTAACTTCTTAAAATAAACAAAACCCATTGATTTATTTGTTTGTTTTAGTTTGTGACTGTTTGTCCCCCCTCACCTCTTCTCCTCCTCCTCCTCCTCCTCCTCTATATCCCTTTCTCTGCACTCAAATCCCTTCACTGTAGTTTGTTTTCTAATCTATATTCAAACCTAGGGTTCAACTTCCAGAGCTCCCTTTTTTTAAATTTGTTTTGCCCTAACTTCTTAAAATAAACAAAACCCAAAAACAGTTTTTAAAAATCTTACTTTCATTTTTTTATAATTTTCTTGTTTTCTCTTGCTTCTGTTTTAGATTCTACAAAAAAAAAATTTACAATTTTTTTCTTTTTTCTTTTTGTGGTGATTGTTGGTTGTTGTTAATGATGATATGTGTCGTTGTTGTTGATGATCTCTAGTGGATCAGGATCTGAAGATAAAGGAAAAAGAAAAAAAAAAATATTGTTGATGATGATGATGTTGATGAAGATGTTGTTGATTGATGATGATAATGTGTTGATGAAGATGTTGTTGATGATGATGCCTAGCTCCCTCTTCTCTCTTTCTTGTCTCTTCTTCTTCTTCATAAAAAAAATAAAAAATAAAAATAATTTTCAAAATAACGTCGTTTTGGACTCGAACCATACCAATCGAAACTGTATTTTCCATTGTGCCAAATTTGGCATAATAAGAGTATCGGACAAAGTTTAGCATCAACAGTTTTGATCATTGACATCTTTGAATTTACTATATATTGGCCCCAAAAAATATTTTTTACAAATTCAATAAAAGTAATAAATTAATATACTTTTAAAAAAATACTAACTGTCATATTAAAATGATTTTAAATCAAAATACAATATAAAGGAATTTCATCATAAAATACTAACCATCAAATTTTATTTAATTTATTTTTTAATTTAAGATAATTATTGACTTGAATTTTTTTAAAATATTTATTATTATTTACAGTTGTTTAATTAAAAGTATAATTTTTTCACAAAAATAAATAAATAAATAAAATTATAATTTAAAACACTACAAATGCATATAATTGGGTACACATAATTGAATCATACGATATAAATTGAATCAAACTTAAAAATAACTTATGGACTATTATAGTGAGTGTTTTATAACATACTAAAATATGATATTGACATATGATTGAAATAAAGTAGAAACTTCATGAAAACAAAATAGTAAGGGGTTGTTTGTTAATATTTTTTTTTTCATTTCTTTAAAAAATTAAAAACAAAATTTGTCTGGTATATTATTTTCATTTAAAAAAAATTTCCAAAAATGTTAAAATTTTTGAAAACTTAAGCAAAGTGCTTCACTAGTTTTTTAAAATAAGTTCACTTTTTACTCTCTGCCCTAGTACAACCCACCGCTAGCAACCTCCGAGTCCGGATCCTCGGCCGCTCTCTCCTGCGGCCCTATCTGTGGCGCCCCATCTGTGGCGCCCCAAAACGACGTCGTTTTGGGGCGAATTTTCAATTAAAAAAAAACAGAACAGCAACAAACCAAAGGACGAGAAGAAGAAATGAGGGAGAAGAAAAAATGAGGGAGAAGAAGGAAGGCAATGGTAGACCCTTGGTCTCTTCTCACCATCTCGATCTAGATCTAGGGTTTGGCCTCTTCCATTCCCTAGCCGCCGCCGTCTCCCAATCACTCCACCTCTCCCTTTGTTCTTTCTCCTCTGGTATGTTTGTTTCTATGCCTATATATATATATATATATATATGTATGTATATATAACTGATTTTGTGGTATTCTTGGTTCTTGCTTTGTGGGTTTTGATTTCCATTTCCTAATCTTAATTGGGTTTTGGTGAAATTGTTTATCGAACAGTTGGTTCAATTGGGAGAAAGGTCCTTTTAATGTTGGTGCCATGTATTAATTTTGTTAGATTTTTTGTTTTAGTGTTTTCAAGAACTGGACATGTAAATTTTCCTTCATCTCCCTTCTTTCTTTTTCTTCTCCTTTGGTTTGTTGTCGTTCTGGGTTTTTTTTTTTTTTTAATTGAAAATTCGCCCCAAAACGACGTCGTTTTGAGGCGACGCAGGAGGGGCCGCAGGAGATGGCGGCCGAGGATCCGGACTCAGCAACCTCCGGTCACTTTTAAAGTGATTATTTGGTGATTAATTAGTCACTGTCACGACTTTTGGCAACCTTTTAACAGCTTTTTAACGATATTGTGACCTTCGACAATCACCTGTGACAGTCCTTACCGGCAATTATATTTGTCCACTTTTCATCATCGCTCAATACCTCCTATAACTCTCAAACACATTTTTCTATATACTTACTATTATTTATTTTTAAAATATTTTTTATATACCAAACAAATTTTAGGGAAAATCGGTCTAAGGTCCCTATCAAACTTTTAGTAATGGATTAAGTCCATAATCTGTTCTTTTGTAGTCTAAGGTCCCTCACCCCATCCCCTCTCCATCCACGTTGTCCTGAGTCCGAGCAACAAGCTGGTCTGCCGTATGCATGTCTCCATTATAGAGAGAGAAGCTGGTCGTTCTTTGTGTTGCCCTCTCCATCCCGTCCCTCATTTCACATCTTTTGGAGTCAAATATGACAAGGAACTGTGTCGGAGAAATAAAGGGATCTATACATTCAGGATACAAGGTCAAGTTTATCACTTCATTAATGAGCTTACATCTTCTGATGAAAATCTTAGTCATCTACAGCTCTACTTTTATGACACTGATCATGAAATCCAAAATAGAATGAAATCTTCAGAAAAGCTAAATCCTGTTAGTTAATTATTTTATTTTTTTAATTAATTTTATTAAATAAAAAATTATGATAAAAGAAAGCATTTATTTACACATACCACTCACTCTATACATATTCTGCATACATAACTTTTTAACTCACTTTCACATTAAATACGTGGAAAGAAGGGATATGATGTGCGCATATAGAAGCTCCCCCGTCGCCCCTACGGCTAAATTTCCTTCTTGTATTCTTTATTTGAATAGACCTTTTACATGTGAAATTTTGAATAGGGAGAGAGAGAGAGAGAGACGGAGACGTTGGCAGTCGGCAATTGCCAACTTACCCTTCAAATTGAGAGAGAGAGAGACCCAGACAGGTACAGAGTAGAGAGTGATTAGAATTCTGAAAGGATGATGATGACAATGCTTCTTTGTCTACCCAGGCTGAATCAAAGAAGAAGCTTTAGCTAATACTAGTCTTTTTCTTTTGGGTTTCAAACAGATTTTCTTGCAGAGCTCGATTTATTTTCTTGTAAAATAAGCCCAATATGGAAAGTTCAGCTGAGAAAAGTAAGAGAAAAGATGGGTTCGAATCTTTCGCTGGAAATGGTGATGGAACCGGATCGCTTACCAATTGGGCATCCGACTGCAGAGACAGTACCACAAGTTCAAGCAGATCGAGCTCTGAAACTTCGACTCGCAAACCGGAGGCTAAGGTGTGTCCTTCATCCGACTGCAGAGACAGTACCACAAGTTCAAGCAGATCGAGCTCTGAAACTTCGACTCGCAAACCGGAGGCTAAGGTGTGTCCTTCGTCGGCTCGATTGGGTTGGCCTATTCGCAAGGCCGATCTCTCAAAATGCTCGATTTCTGATGTATCCGAAGGTGAACACAAACCCTATTTGGGCGATTCCAAGTTGAAGAAACTGGGTTCGAAAATTTTAGGTTGGTCACTGTTTTTTTTTTTTTTTTTGGTGGCTTTAAATCCTCCGTTTGGTTGCCGAGAAAGTAAGGAAAAGTGGAAAAGAAAATAATGATATATGGTTTTTGTGCTTCCTTCCGCTTTGTTATTCGGAAAGAGTAATTCAACCCAACAAAGCGAAATAGCTGCAAACACGCATACCGATATACAACTATACAGTTACTGTAATTTGGAAAAAAAAAATTAATAATAATAATAATAAATCAAGTGGTTGAGTTAGGCATTTTGTAATTTGACTTTTTTGGTTTTTTACTTTTTATTTGAATTGAATAGAAATTAACATGATGAAGGAAAGGTTTTCGAAATTGTTGCTTGGCGAAGACATGTCAGGGAGTGGTAAAGGGGTTTCCACAGCATTGGCCATTTCAAATGCCATCACTAATCTCTGTGGTACTCTCTCTCTCTCTCTCTCTCTCTCTGGATTGGGTTTCACTCATCTTCTTTGGCTAAATGTTTCTCAAAACTGTTATAAACAAAAGGAAAAAATTCTTAAACCAACTCACTTTCTAGAAAATAAAGAGTTGCTTTTGAATTTCGGAGAAGTATTTTTGCACAAGAAGAAAAGATAAGAAAATGAACTGTTTTCAATTTTTTCATAACACAAAAAACAAGATTAAAAAATAAAATGAAAACAATACCAAATAGGCCTTGCTATGCCTTCATTTTGCTCCTCTGCTTAGGGTTAATGTTATTATACTGGTTATTATACCTTTATTGTAGCTACTGCATTCGGGCAACTATGGAGATTGGAACCATTGCCTTCCGAGAAGAAATCAATGTGGCGAAGAGAGATGGAATGCCTTCTCTGTGTTAGCGATCACATCATTGAGTTTGCACCTTCTTGGCAAACATTTCCAGATGGAAGTAAGCTTGAGGTACTTCCAATCTTATTTCTATATTCAATTAACAATAAACTTTAGTTTTCTAAGAAATGTTACTTTATTTTGTTCAATTGTAATTCCCTTCCTAGATCAGCCTGCAATAAAAGGCAATATTAAACTAAAATGAATTGGTATTGTAACTTTACTTTAGATCACTTTCCACTTTAATTCTGAAATTTTCATCCGAAGTTGGCCTTTCACTTTGTTTCAAATTTTTATTTATGATGGAAGGTCATATTCAGTGAAAAATCATGCTAAAAATCTGACATTGAAGTTAAACAAATCAGTGATCAAAAAATGTGCAAAACCCAGTAGGGAAATTAGTAAAAGAAGATGGTTGTTGGGTGATTATATCATAATCACATGTTTCATGATTGGTTTTGCTTTTGCCGCTCAGGTCATGACCTGCAAACCGCGATCAGATCTTTCCATCAACCTTCCAGCACTTTGTAAACTAGATGACATACTCATTGTAAGACCCAACCTTGCTTTTTTTCTTCCCTTTGTCGCTACTCTATTTTGAAAAGCAATTTGAAGCTAAAAGTCGTTTTTTAACCTATCACAGGAGATACTAGATAGTTTTAGCGAGACAGAGTTTTGGTATGTTGATCAAGGAATTATAGCTAAAGATGCTGATGAGTCAGCCTCTTTCTGTAAGCCCATTCAGCGGCAAGAGGAGAAGTGGTGGCTACCAGTGCCTCGTATCTCTCCTGGTGGTCTCCATGAAGATACAAGGAAGCAATTGCATCACAAGCGTGAATGTGCAAATCAAATACTAAAAGCTTGCGTGTCTATTAACAGTACTGCTTTAGCCGAAATGGAAGTTCCTGAATCATACTTGGAAGCACTTCCAAAGGTTTGACATTCAATTTTCATGTGATTGAAGCAAGATTGTGCATAAAATTCTCCAAAGTCGTGCCAATATCAGTATCTATAGCCAATTAATGATGGAATACTGCCAAGTATTCATGTAACATCCTACTAAATCCACAGGACAATCGTATGAGTAGCTTTTGGCACCCAAACATGCTTGTGTTTTTTATTTTTATTTTTATTTTTATTTTTTTCCTTCAATCATGATTCTTTTGTGCCTAAATCTATCAATAGGCCATCTTACATTGTTGTTTTTTTTCCTCCCTTGATATTAGAATGGGAGAGGCTGTCTAGGAGAGGTTATTTGCCGGTACATTACTTCAGATCAGTTCTCCTCAGAGTGCTTGCTTGATTGCCTTGACCTGTCCACAGAACATGTTGCTCTGGAGATTGCAAACCGTGTGGAGGCATCAATTTATGTATGGCGTAGACGAATTCACTCAAAACCCATAACTAATTCAACCCACTCCTCTGCAAAATCATCTTGGGATATAGTCAAAGAATTAATGGTTGATGGAGATAAACAAGAATTGCTTGCAGGAAGAGCTGAAAATCTCCTGAGTTGCTTGAAACAGCGGTTCCCTGGTCTAACCCAGACTACCTTGGATACTAGCAAGATAGAGTGCAACAAGGTTCAGATTCCAGACATTAAAAGATTCTGGTGTTTCCAGTTTCATTCTTTGACCTCTATAATGTTTTGTTGAACGTACTTTTTTATTTTAGTTTTTTCCTATTTTACAGGATGTTGGAAAATCCATTCTGGAGAGCTACTCGAGAGTTTTAGAAAGCTTGGCGTTTAATATCATGGCACGTATTGATGATCTACTATATGTGGATGACCTGACTAGACATTCTGATAAGCTCTCATCAGTTCCAACAGTAAGTGTGATTGCTCACAAGAGAGTTTCAATCTCATATTCAGTGCCTTTCTCGGGCACACCTTACAAAACAGCTTTTGGCACACCAAACTTCTCACCTGCACCACTGGTGGATAGTCCTGCAAGGGGAGAGAGAACTCCATTCATCAGTGACAACAGCAACAAGCCTCCCCATCGTGGTTTTGGGGTAAAAGGAGTCTTGACAAATTATCTTGGCGTTGAACCAAAAATGAAGAACTGGGGAAATCCAACGGGAGGGTCAGGTACTGTTCCACACAAAAATGATGAGTTGTCTGCATCCCAAACTGGCATGGGAGGTTCAGAGCAATAGGAGGAGCCATCAGCCCTTCAAATGGTATCAGGTTGCATCAGATTGATCACTGAGGTTTGCTCAGGGAAGAGAATACGGGAAAAAAAAAAAAAAAACCTTGCATGTAAGTGATTATATGATCAAAAATTATTTAGGAACTGAGAGCATTTACTTATTACTTGATTTCTTGGGTGTCTTTTTATGTGGTGTTGTGTTAGTAAGACATGTATATACTTCCACATGTATGTATTTAAGAACATCTCCAATAGTGTATCAAACCCAGCATCAGATTTGAAATTTGATGAAAAAGTCACTGTTTGTGTCTCCAATGGTTTCACTAAATTGATATTAAAATGAGAACAGAACAAAAGTTTCATCAAATCGAGGACAAACTCCAAATTTCATCTTTTCACTATGCTATACTGTTGGGGTGGGCCAACCGGTTAACCAACCGGATGTCTGGCCGGTTGACCCACCAGTCGACCGGTTCCCTTTCGAATAGGTAGGTTCAAACCGGTCAAAAAGTTAAAAAAGGCTAAAAAAAAAAAAAATTTGCCTTACCAGTTGACCCGTCGGTCAACCCACCGGATGACCCTTTTCTTTTGATGTACGGTTGGAGCAAGCGATATCAAATTGAGAAAATTAGCTTTTTTTTGTTCAAATTTAGTGAAAAAAGTAATGAATCGTTGGAGATGCTCTAAGGACTACAATTAAATAGAAATAGACAAATGATTGTTCTATTGCTTCCACAAACTTGAAATTGTGTCCATCCTCACACACATAAGGCCTAGATAATACTTTGACATTTTGTTAATCAAGCTGACAAATGCCCCAGTTGGTCCTATTCATGTGACCCTGTTATCAGAAAAATAAATTGTGTTGGGCAATCCACATCGCTTGGGAGGGACAAACCGACTTCACCTTATAAGCATACTGGCCATCTCTACCTTGCAAGAGGCCTTTAAAAGTCGTAAGGGAGGGGGGGGGGAGGGGGACAGCCAGCTCTGTCCCTCAATCCCAAAGCGGATAGTATCTTGCTCTATATCTTACTCTGTAAGCTGAGCTGTTCTAGCACTCACCCAGACAAGAGGTCTTTTTCCCTGAGGAGGAACAAAACCGTGCGGCCGACGCGGCTCTGCCCCCACCTCACCAAAGTGGACAATATCTTGCCGGGGCGCGAGTAGACAGGCACACAAATTGTATGTTGGAGCAATCCCATATCGCCTGGAGAGGGACGGACCGACTTCACTTTATAAACGTACTGGCCCCCTCCACCTTGCGAAAGGCCTTTAAAGCCATCTTCGTCCCTCAACCCTAAAGTGGACAGTATCTTGCTCTGCCGGCTGAAGTGTTCCAGCACTCACCCAGACAAGAGGTTTTTTCTCCTAAGGAGAAAACAAAACTGTGCAGCCAACAGGGCTCCGCGCCTACTTCGCCAAAGCGGACAATATCTTGCTGGGGCGCGAGTGGACAAGCATGCAAATTTGGCGCTAGAATGAGGGCTCGTCTCTTCCCCGCTGTTGAGACCTAGTTCGCTGGGGATTATGTTGGGGCAATCCCATATCGCTTGGAAGGGACGGACCGACTTCACCTTATAAACATACTGGCCCCCTCCACCTTGCAAGAGGCCTTTTTCCCTTAGGAACAAAACCGTGCAGCCGACGGGGCTCCACGCCCACCTCGCCAAAGCGAACAATATGTTTCAAGCAATGAAAATTCGCTGCCTACCAGCCTACCACATGTACGACCCACCACCGCTCGAGCAGCCAATGTAGGCACTTGAGTGGGCCACCTTAGGAATTGTGTATGAAAATTTTAGTTCTATTTTCGGAGAATAAAATGAAGAAAAATAGACTTTTCTAGGGTTCTAACTTTTGGAGGGCTAGAAGTGAGAAGCTATACTTAGGGTTTCGATGAAACCCTAGTCAAGTAACTGGTTTTTGTAATCTTTAATAGTTACACTTATAATGTTTTGATTGGAATAATTGTGTAAAACTTTGGATTTCAATTTCATATTCTTCTATCGTTACTCTTCATTCGATTTCTGTGATTGGTGAATGAATGTTTTACTCTTTTTTTCATTGTTATTGTTTTCAGAATCCAAAATGGTCTATGCTATAACTAGATGGATTGTGCCACGAACTCTAGTTTGGAGTGGACAATCTATATTGGTCGAGATAGGACATACTCACGCTTCCAACACGATTTTATCTTGCCCTCTAATCCTGGACTTACACTTGAGGAATTGGTTTATTCCAATCAAGCATTCATGTGCTTCATCAATTGCAAATCCAAGTACTAAACTAGTGGTGGGTTTGGACCCCTAAATTCCTAATCCAATTAATTTAATACAATTTTATTGTTTATTAATTTAGGATTTCATTAATTCTCTTAAAAACAAATTACCAATTATCAACTAAATTATTTGAAAAATAAATATTTAGAATAGCTTTTAAATACACAATAGTCCGTATGGATGCGATACTCATCCTTGCTATCTACACTGATTTAATAGAGTTTGGGAAGATTGGTTTGCGATGACCAATCATTTAAAAACAAAAAAAATGTGTAAATTATATATACATTTCTAGATATTTGCTTATAATACGAATTGCTACTTATAGTTTTAGAAATTACATTCTATATCTTAAAGTTTCGAATTTCATAACAAATGACCTATTTTATCAATACATCATCAAGTTAATTAATAATTTTTAATGATGCCAAAAATATATTTTAATTAATAATTTAAGTAATTTTATTATTGTATAAAAAAGAAGTTAGTAATTTTATTTTTCTGATTAATTGTGTTAAAAAAAATCTTATAGAAATATTTTTAATTTTTCAAATTATAGAAAGTAATCAGTATTTTAAGTATACTTCTTGTATTTGTAATTGTGGGGATGTATTTTCTGAATACCAACACGTGGCATGGTGACGCCGACGTGTCAGCCGAGGTGCCACGTGTCCTGGTAGTTAAGCCGAGATGATCTCGGAGTTGCCGAGGTTATCCCCGAAGATATCGGAATCCGAGATAAGCAGATAAGGTACAAGAGTCCTAAGGCAAAGAGGGGACTTAACCAAGATAAGGATAAAGCTCTTAGGGAGTTTATCTTTATCTCTTAAAGAGTCCAGAATAAGCAGTAAATTAGAGTTCGTAGAAGTCATACTTCTAATGGGACTTGGATTGAGTATATTATAAAAGAGATGCACCCCCGTGGGTCTAAGGTATGCAATTTATGTTTTGAGTATTCAGTTTAGCACTTGATTATCTTTGAGAGATATACTGACTTGATCGTCGGAGTGCCCCCGGGTGGAAGAACCACCGCCAGAGCCTTTTTCTTTCTGTTACAGGTTGCTAAAGCCATCTATTCTGCCTGTGCTTTCCAGCTGATCACTAAACGGGCAGTGTGGTCAGATTTTCACCCACACAATTTGGCGCCGTCTGTGGGAACGAAGGAAGAATAGATGGCCAGTAACGGACAACAGGAAAAAACTGGGGATGACGCTCCTACTGGGAGTGGCAGACCAATTGATCTTGACATTGAAGGAGACAACCACAATACAGAAGCCCGTGACCAGGGTCACAGAGAGAACGACGTCATCCCAGAAGGCGACACGTCAAAAAAAACAAACCAATGAAAGTACTACAATGAAGATAACCTCCAGGTATGGAGGGACAAGTGCCTACGGAGGGATGAGGAAGTGAAAGAACTGGCGAACAAGTTGGCGGACCTTCAGTCAGTCGTCAACTTCATGATGCAGAATAATGTTATGCAGCCACCATACCCGCTGCAAGATACGCCGATGCCAGCAACCAACACCCAGAAGGGTGGAAGAAAAACAATCCCCGAGGTCCCTCAGCATACCAGGAGCGGAAGGCATTCTCACCGGCCTTCCAGGGAAGTCGGACGGGAAAAGCCGAGGCAAGAAGAGTCCCGAAGGACGCACCACATGAAGAATCCAGACCCCAAAGAACATCGACATGTTCAGGGGCAAGTACTCCACTTTGACACAACCCATGAAGAAAGATCCAAACGGACCCACCACGAGGCCGAAAGCAGTGTACCAAAAAGACTAAAATCTAAAGACAGCCGAGCTCCAGGGAGGAGCAAAGAAGACCTAAGGGACTACCTCAAGAGGAGGCAGCAGAATGCAGAAGCCGAGGTAAACTCCCCAGTAAAACCGAAGACAGCCTTCTCGGTGGAACTGGACAAATTCGAACCACCTAAGAGGTTCAGTATGCCGAGGTTTCAAATCTATGATGGTAAGACAGATCCAAACTTTCATGTTGGGCTATACCTAAATTCCATGGCATTATATAGCAGAAACGGGCCGTTGCTCTGCAAAGTATTTCCCTCATCCTTTGGGGAAATTGCATCCGATTGGTTCCATAAATTACCAAAAGGAAGCATAAAGACATGGGAGGGCCTGGCCGAGATGTTTGTAGCCAGGTTCGTGACAAACAAGCTGCAACCCCTAAGGGTTAATGCTTTGATGGCTCTAAGAATCACCAAGGAAGAAGGCCTCAGGGCCTATGCGAAGAGGTACTACGAGGTGTTCAACCAAATACCCGAATGCAACCAAGAGGTAGCGGTCGTGTCTTTCAAAAACGGCCTGAAAGATGACTGCCCAGTCCTAAGACGGAGAGGGGACTTGACCTTGGATAAGGATAGAACTCTTAGGGAGTTTATCTTTATCTCTTTAAGAATCCAAAGTAAACATTGAGATGAAGTTCATAGAAGTCATACTTCTATTGGGACTTGGATTGAGTATATTATAAAAGAGAGGCACCCCCATGGGTCTAAGGTATGCAATTTATGTTTTGAGTATTCAGTTTAGCACTTGATTATCTTTGAGAGATATACTGACTTGATCGTCGGAGTGCCCCCGGGTGGAAGAACCACCGCCGGAGCCTTTTTCTTTCTGTTACAGGTTGCTAAAGCCATCTATTCTGCCTGTGCTTTCCAGCTGATCACTAAACGGGCAGTGTGGTCAGATTTTCACCCACACAGTAATGAATAAAGCTATATACACCAATTAATGTACTAACAGATGATGTTGTATAATTTTATTGGTTTTGAGTCATTGTAGTTTGTATAATAGGTAAAGTCTATAATTTTAAAATTGTAATATTAAAACATATATTGGTACACTAATTATTAATTTGTAATTTATCTAAAAAATTATATAAAAATAAAATAAATTTATATATTTCTAAATTTTGCTTTACACGTGGCTTTCCTCGTGAGGAGACTGGATCCGCGCTAGTATATTTACTGCCCGTGGCAAAAATGTTATTCGTCGGCAACAGATAGGGATTTTTTGGTCTTTTCAGTAATTTTAAGGCAGCTTAAAACCCTAGGTTCCTCCCTATAGCAGCTCCTCCAGTAAGCTCTCCCTCTCTGGCTGGTGGGGTTTTCTGTGGTAAATCTCTCTTCTTTTGTTTTTTAATCTCTTCTTTTAATGTGGAATGCTTCTTAGAGTAGCCATATGAATTATACATTTCATAGATTGGCTTAGTTAAGGGGCATACACTAATTTTGACCTAGAAAGAGTTATTCTTTCTGGGTTTTCTTCTATGGCTTCTTTCAGAGGATTCTCTGTTTCACCCTCAGTTGTCCTCCAAGCAGCCTTGGACATATTTTACTAATTTTTGCACTCACAAATTTAATATAGTTGATGTGTATGTGTATCTATGCTTGTGTACATATATATCTATATATATATACCTGGACAGATATATACACAAGATTTATATATATAGGTAAATATGCCTTCAGAATAACCGGACGGAGCAAGGATATGCAGTCTCTGTTCGGTTCAGACAGAGGCACAAAATGAGTGAGAGAGAAAAGAGTCTCTCAGTCTCTCCCCTGAATCAGCTTTTTAAGTGTAAGGAACTAGTTTCCTTTCTATGTTCCTTTCTTAGATTGCTTCAGATATATGCATTTTTTTCCATTTTAATTTTAATGAAAGTTTTATAATACACACCTGTGTACCAGATCACTCATTATGGTGTTTGTTACATGACATAATGTGATGTTATTTTTATTATAATTTATATGGTTTTTGATCTTAACTCTCACTGATAGTTTTATTCAAAATTGACAATAAAATTATAATTATTTCATTCGGGAAATTCTACTATAAACATCCCTTATTGCAAACGCTCCTAAGTTATGCCATTTTCTGTTTTAGTTATGATTAATTTTTTTGTTTAGTTTTGATTTTATTTTAATTATGACTCGTGTTGTTTGGTTATAGCTTTTTTTTTTTTAGTTATAACTCGTAAAGTATGAAGGTATGTTATTTTCTTCTTTAGTTATAAGGTGTATATGCACCATAGTTTTTCTCATTTCATTAGAACGAAAATATTATATTTAAGTTCAACTAAAAAATAACATAAAAATTAAAGATTATCATTAAATCTACAAATAAAATTTTAAAAAGCAAGAAAATATGATTTTGTGGACACTTTTATGTTGTATGAAACATGATGTTACTTAGAGCTTTAAAAGTATAAAAATTTTAACCAAATACCACTTAAAAAAAGTGCATATAAATTCATTTGGTTCATATACAACACTACATTTTAACCAAATACCACTGAGTTCATAACATAAAGCAAAAACATCAATGGATCATAACCAAACATCACTAATTTCATAACTTTTCAGAACTCATTTTGATTTAATAGTGGTGACAATTGGATGTGTTTTGGTAACTCATTTTGATTTAATAGTGATGACATTCGATATAGAGTACTAAAATCGTCAAACTGAAATTTGGTGAAGTAAAAGCTTGGTGAGTGGCAGAGGGATGGCACCCTTTGCATTATACAGAAAGAACTAAAACAATAAGAATTAATACAATTTTTGTGACCATAGCAGGGGCCACAAGCCACCCTTAGGCCCCTGCGTTCACAGGTGGATTTGGCAAGTGTGTCATTCAATATAGAATACTAAAATGTACTAAAATGGTCAAGCTGAAATTTGGTAATAGCTTGGTGAGTGGTGGAGTCGTAGATCAAAGTGTCTCTTGATTTGAGTAAAGAAAACAAGTTTGGGCAAGGTTGGAGAGATTTTACTGAAATTGGGATTATTAGAGTTAAGGCAATAAATGACAAATTTATTCGAGTTAAATTCATCAAATGAAAATTTTTTCGCTATAGTCTTTATATTGTGGACTTATTATTCATGAGTCAAAAATATGGTTGAAGAGTCTTTTTTGCCCATGCTCCATCCGTTCCCATTCTCTCTCTATCTCTCTCTTTCCTTGCCAATTACCAACAGGTTTGTAGAGCAACAGGATCACACAAATCTCTCTACTGACACCTTTTTGTCTTGTTCTGTCTACTTCCACAAATGGGGAGGATGACATGGTTTACTTCAGCATTGAGTTCTTCAAGCATAACCACTCCCAGGATTGATATGCATCAATTACATATAATACATGTGCATGGTAATTCTGTTTATGTGATGTGAGGCCTATGATTTCTGTGCTATCCAATTGATTTGTGCTATATATTGGGCTCATATAGGTCTGATCTGTCAACCTTCAAACACATCTGAACCACACCGCAAAAAAAAAAAAACATTGTTCTATTATTGAGGATTTGAGTTTTGAACATTTTCTGGCAGTCTTGCAGATTTGATTGTTGGGACTTTTCCCCCCCTAGTTTAGATTGCTTAGTTGCTTGCCTTTTGTTAGTTCCTCTAGTTTAGGGTGATTAGTCGGAGAATGAGGAGGAATGGTTAAAAATGACTTTTTAGTTGTGTTCTTGACTGGATTATTAATATGTATACTTGAGAAGAAATTTTTTTATTTAATGAACTCAAGTGTAAGGACTGGAGATGTTGTCTTTGCTCAAATTATGACTCAAGTTCATATTTGATTAAGCGCACACTCCAAACCACTCTCTAGCCTCCATTTTATCTCAAACTCATAGCAAATTGAGTTTTTCATTTTTTACCCAAATGAAGGGAGATCCTTTCGCAAACTCAAATTCAAACTATTTGGTGACATGTAGCATTATTTAATTAGCCATTTGCAAGGAATAGATGAGAGTTTAATTCTAAAATTTAAGTTTAACAGTGATAATGTTGTAGATGCCCTGAAAATTTTGTTCAAATTTTTACTCTAATCTTAGTGAAGAATTGAGTCGTGTTTGGAGATAAGAGTAACTTGCTTGCTGAGGTACCATCAACTCATTTATATATCTAGCCCTCTAGGTGATACTTTCCTTGAATTCTTTTATTTCCAAGAGTACGCAATGAAAGGGAATAATTTGTTGGTTAATATTATGTTGTAATCTTGTTATCTTATTGATAATGACTTGTTGAAATCTGTCATGTGTTAGGTATTTGCATTTATTTGTCTGTCTAGCACACCATTAGATAGTTTTCTTGAATTTTGGTTACCAGTGTTATTAAAGGTGATAGGCGCACCGAGGTGCCAAGGTCTCTTGGGACCTAGGTGCAAGGGCAAGACACAAGGCGAGGTACAGGCTTTACCGAAGTGAAGCGCACCTTGTACAAGAAAATAATGTAGATAAGAAGAAACGTAGAGAAGAGAAGTGGAGAAAACAACAATGTAGAGAAGAAGAGAAGAGAAAAGAATGAGAGAAATGTAAGAAGAAGAAGATAGCAACGTGAAGAAGAATTTTTGGAACTTCTATATTGGATAACGAAAGCAGGCAGCAACAAAGTGTTCTGTGGAGATTAGAAATTAAGACTAATTTTTCTTTTATCGTTGATTTGTGGCTGAATGCCCACTGTATTGGCATGTGTACTTAAGAGTATGGATCTTTTATAGTTGCATCATGTTTAATCAATGATCAGATTTTAAACAAAATCAATCAAAGCAACAATTAAAAAAAAAAAAAAAAGCCCTCAAGGCGCAAGCCTTGAGCTTTTTTGCGCCTTGGCCTAGTCGCCCACCTTAAGTCCGAATTATCAAAGTTGCCTAGTCTGGAGCACTACAAGGTGAAAATATTGGGCTTGGATGGGATTTGGGCCTAGGCGCATGCTTAGGTGCACATTTAATAACACTGTTGGTTACTATTTCAGAGATAATGCAATGAAAGAGAAGAATTCTGCTGGTTAAAGGGTGTCTTGATGCGTATGCATACATGTTTTTGGCGTGTTCATATTTGCTATTATATGATGCTTGATGAGATAAACCATAGAAAAATGATTGATCATTGGGTTTTATTATTATTATTATTATTATTATTATTTAAAGTTTAGGAGTGTGCTTGCCCAATTGGCCTCATGGATCAAGCTCCATTATATTCTGTGTCTGCTTTGTCATCTTTGTGTTGTCAAAATACGTTTTTTTTTGAAAATTTTGGGAGGAAGGAGGATGATAGAAGAGGCATACTAGAGACTGAATTGTGTGTTTTCTTCTATTTGTTTTATGAATGGAAGTGAGAGAGAGAGAGAGAGATGGTTGTAACATAATTTTATTGGCTGTCTTTGCAAAATGAAGGATAACCAACCTTTTAAGGTTAAATTATAAATCTATATTTAATAGGATGGGGAAGCTCGTGCTCTCCTCCCCATTAACCCCTTATGTGAGCCTGTGAGCCAATGAAAATTGGTGGGTTTGGAGGCAGGGCACATCCCTTCCTAGATTTGTAATTGGCATGGGCTCTTTTAATTTGTTTCCAGACTTTGACTGTGTATACAAATTTATGTATTGCACAACATATTTTTGACATTTCTTAAGTTGTGCAGTGATTGGTCAAAATATTTGAGATAGTAGTGGAGCTCATTTTCCTTGCTCAAAGCCGGTTTCTCTAGCTCTAAAAGACTTGAACACCAGGCTTGTAAACACAATGGTTTTTGCAACATTGATCTCCCAAAAAAAGAAAAAGAGAAAAGAAAGAACCAGAACTAGATAGTGCCATATGTCAGCATCTCACCACTGCTATTTCATCCTTTGATGATAGGTGCCTTGGATTGGCAGTCAATAAGTTTTGTGGGGATGAGACTCTTTGAATTTTGGATGTGTAGTGGAAAGGAAAAAAAAAGGGACAGAATAAAAATTGTTTTTCCCCTTCCAGGAATACAAGATCTAAACATACTCTATAAGGTGTAAAATAAGAGAAATTGAGTAAGCAGCATCAGAGGAGGAAAGTGTGTTTGGTTTCAATTTTTTGGATTTAATTTTTTAGAAATTGAATTTTTTGTTTTTGTTTTTGTTTTTAGTGAATATTTTTAAAATTTTAAGCAAATTTTTCACTTTTTTATATGCATCTTATTTAGATGTATCTAAAAAGTAAAATATTTGTAAATTTTTTTTTTAAAAAAAATTAATAAATACACAAGAATACGAAAAATGTATTAAGTTCTCAAATTTTTTTTTTATTGATATTTTTGTTATTTAGTGAATTTTTTAAAGATTTTTTTTTTCCACAAATATTATATTTTTTTTTTTTTTTTTTTTTGAGGATATATATTTTTTAAGTGTATTTATGTTAAGTATATCTAAAAATTAAAAAAATTGCTTAGAATATTTAAAAAATTCAATGAAAAAAAAATACAAAAAATAAAAAATTTTAATTTTTAGAAAAGTGAATCTTAAAAATTCAAACCAAACAAGCTCAGCCCTTCAAAATTCCTATGAAAAATTGCAAGCCATAATTTACCAGAGGACTGGAACTCGATTACACTTAGATTTTGTGAAGACAGATAATGAGCTTGGTAGCATTGATGTAGATTGATCTCAATTTTCATTTTGAGCTCTGATTGTGGTTTGTGCTTTGTTACCTACAATGCTTTCTGCATTAATATATACATTTATTACCACTGGGTTGGCTAATGTTGCAGATCCGCAGCTTCTTTTGAAGATATGGTTGCACAATCAGAAGCAACTACTCATTTGGTGCGGTTTCTGGAACTAATACCGATCTTTTAATTATTGAAGTTGTGTAATACTGGTTGATGCAATAAACCTATCCTCAAGTCTGGAGAAAATATAATAAACCTTATAGTTTTGACATTATTATACTGATCTCTCTTTCAATAATGCTAAAAGGAGTTAAACTCATACATCTGGTGAGAGAGCACAAAAATAAATAAGGTAAAATATATACTTTGATTTAAAAAAGATGACAATATAAATTTTCTATTCGTCTGACTAATGAATTACTATTGAAATGAGGCTGATGTGAATTTAAACTTTATAGGAGCCCAATGTGACTTAAATCTGTGGGGCATATTTTATTTTTTTTTTCAAAATGGGAGGTTATTGTAACTTATCCGAAAAGTTGGGATGAAATGCTTTAGCTTGCAATAATCAACACCAGATATTACAAAATTCTAGAGTATGGGTGGCGTTGTGATCTTTAAATAGTGGTCACTGACAGTTTATTGTCATTGTCACCGACAGTTTTTTGTGATAAACTCCCTTTGCATATTCAAGGATGAACAAAATAATGAAGTGTGAGTGATGACTTTGGCAGGCATCTGAGTGTTCATTGGCTAAAAATTGCCAGATAACCCTCAAAACCCCTTCTTAAGTGGAGCAAGTGCTGACATAGAAACAACAAAATTTGGTCTAGTGCTCTTTCCACTGACTTTGTGGGTTTTCTTGTGTACCCACCAACCATGTTGATCCTACTTGCTAGTTGGTAATCCAGTCATCTTTTTCTATATAGCCCATGGAGTTGCAAGTGTTTAACACATTGTAGTGGAAGAGTTTGAGCTACACACACACACACAGCAGTAAAAGAAATGGAAGCTCCAAAGAAGTACATTTGTGTTCTGGGGTTTCTTTTGTTTCTAGGAATTGCAGAGCTTGGAGGGGTTAATGGGGCTGGTGAATGTGGAAAGGCTTCTCCAGACACAGAAGCTTTCAAGTTGATTCCTTGTGCATCAGCAGCAAAGGATGAAAATGCCACACCTTCTAGTGCTTGCTGCCTTCAGGTGAAGAAGTTGGGCCAGAACCCTGGATGCCTTTGCGCTGTTATGCTTTCCAACACTGCTAAAAACTCTGGAGTCAACCCTGAAATTGCCATAACCATTCCCAAACGCTGCAACCTCTCTGACCGTCCTGTTGGTTATAAGTGTGGAGGTTTGTTATATCCAATAACATCCGTCTCTTAATCACCCTTATATTTATTCTCTTGGAAAATTATTCATTACTCTCATAGCACCACCACTGAGTCATATGCACATACGTGGTGCTTTCGAACTCAATCAATTAGGTTCACCTAAAAAGGATGGTGATCACTGTTTTGGCTGGCCTCCACCATGCCAGCACTGGTGTTGGAAGTTGGTGCTTTGAGATTTCTTTTCTCACCCATGCAATGTTGTTTTTACCATTGTAAATTTTTACTTTTCTGTAGTATAATCCTAAAGCTGTGTGAATTCTGTCTTGCAGCTTATACCTTACCTTGAAGACTGAAGATCACAAAAGTCATCCCCTCTTGGATATGACTAAAAAGTACTACTCGTTTGGTTTAGTTGTATGCTGCAGGCTAGTTGTTTATCTAGCTAATAAAGTTACTGTCATATCCAAACTTGTGATTAGTAAATAAAATTGCAGTGTTTTATGCTGTTTGGCTAATAAGGTGCTTCTTGTTTCATCTCACATGGATTATGTACAATGGTTTGGATTCATCTTGTGTTGAATATATGTTAAGACTAAATCAGACTCCAACCTGTCAAAATTAAGATTAAATATTAAAACATGTATATGTTCATAGAGTAAAGGACCTTGTATCAAAAAAAAAAAAAAAAAAAAAAAAAAACACTAGAAAATTCAAATTGCTGAATTAGACTTGATGGTTGGAGACATTCCCCAATTGAGTTCAGGGGATGAAACTGTAGATTAATCAAGGAGATCTGAATCTGATATATGTGACATTTTTGTGGTGTAACTATCATACCTGTAGGGAGAGTTTAACCGAATGGAAATGGTTTCTGTTTAGCTAGGTATTTTATTGGAGAGGTGGTGTTGGGTTCTCCTGTGAGTTTGGGGATCCTGCTGCGTAGGGTGTGCAGCAACATCTGCTGTGTGCAGAAATGAAATTGTAAATATGCGGGACAGTTATAACTAATTACACTATAAATGAAATTGTTTTAAATGTATTTTTGACATAAAAAATTTATACCAAACACATGAATAGATTTGAGCCATGCACACAGGAGAGTTGTATCACCATAAAAATATTAATTTTTTGTTGTTCTATTGAAAAATATTTTTTTTTAATATATATTTTTGTCATATATGTTTTTTTTGTTTAAAATTTGATTTTTCTTGTTTTTTGATATGTAAAATTACAAATAATTTTGTTTTCAAAATTTTTGACATATCTTATATCTTATATTTTATCTTTTTGTTCAATTTTATTTATAAAGAATTTATTAATTTTAATTTTGAAAAACTTCTTTATTGAAATGTTATGTTATCAATGTAAATATTTTTTAAGAAATAATCTTGTATTTCTTATAATTTAATCTATTAATGAAAATAATTGAATTATACCTGTTAAGTAAACTATCAATGTTCATACACACAAACACACCTACAGTTAGGCTACATGCACTAATTAGTATTGCAGTTAGTATACCAATATATATTATGACATTGTCACTTTAAAATTATAAACTTCACCTACTATACAAATTATAAAAACTTAAAATTTTTAAAATTATATCATATTATCCGTTAATAAACTAATAGATACACCAATTGATTTATTCATATACCAAATACTCACAAATCTTTATAGGTCCTATCATCTCTTGGCTTGGGGTCCACCCAAAACTTGCGAGTATATTTGTATGTGTCTATGTATGATTATTGGTAAAAATTATTATGATAATGATTAATGAATACAAATAATATAAGTTATTGATATGAAAAATTATTGGTTGATTTTAGGATACCATGTGGTCATATCTTAGACCAATTATAAACTCCTATGCCTCTTTATATTCTCCAATCATCCAATATAAAATCGTAAGTCTCACCTTCTCCACTAATCATAATACATGTGGAGTGTCATGTAGCGCTATCCTTAAACCAATCAATAACTTCTCCATTGATATGGGTTTTAGGCGATAAGTTTACTCACCTAATGGTTAAACCATTTCTAGTTTAGTTTTGCAAAATTGTTCATACAAAAACTAAAATTGATTAGACATCAATAGCAACATAATTGAATCATATTTGTATTTTACAATAATAATAAATAAATAAGCAAAGGATTCCAAATTCTAGAATAGACTTTTAAAATTTTGAAAACAAATGTAATTCGATTATGTGATTACTGATGCCTGATTTTTTATTATATTATATTTTATTTTTTTTGTGGTGGCATGGATACTAAGCTCAACAATTTTACGAAAATAAAAAAGTTCAAATTTGCTAAAATAGGTCTTGTGGTGAGGCCTACCAAGCCCAATAATATCTTTTCGGTTGAAATTGGATGTCCAATTGAAGAGAATTAAAATTCTAAGATTGTATTTGAGTCATAAATTTGAAAAGTAAAAAATTGAAAGAAATGTAAATGAAATATAAGTTAATTTTTTCATTATTATTTTATTTACTTTTCTTTTTTCTTTTTAAATTTCTTCTAAAATTCATATTCTAAATACAAGTTTAAATTTTTTTTTTTTAAATGTATCAGCCCACCCACCTGAGTCCATTGTGTCTAATCTTGTAATTAGTTTCCATATAAGTAACAAAGTTGATCAAATACAGAACAACTTAAATCTTAGGAGCTATGCATTTATAAAATCAAGGCTAAAAACCAGTATTACACACAACAAAGTTAGCTACTACTCGCACGGAAAAGACCTTCGTGCTAATGCTTTGAAAATTGGACTAGTAAGTGAATTAGAAAAGTGATTGGATAGATAGGTTATTGGTTTAATCGCGAGGAATTGGAATTAAAATGTAATATCATAATTATGTTATAAATAATTTTATAATATATTTTTAAAAACAAAATTAAGTTCGAGAGAATATATATATATATATATATATGTCCATAAAATAAAGAGACTAAAAATTTTTTTATAATGCAATAGTTTTAGCATTAAAAACAATAGATGCAAAAATGATTTGGTGGTTAGCATGCTACACTGTGAAAGGTTGGGGGTTCAAATCCTTCTACCATCAATAATGTTTTGGAATGTTGCTGTCAACCCAGCGATTCAAGCGAGTTGCCGGTTCAACCGGCGAGTTTGCAATACAAATGATTATGTGGGTAACTTGGGTCGATCGACGGATCAATAGGTCGGTCTAGTTTAATTTTCAAAATCATGCTTTGTGCTAAGCCCTCAGATTGATGCCACTAGATTCATCTTATCAGCTCATACACAAAGACATTTTCCTTTTCCCAAATTGTCTAGCAGTGCGGTGTCGGGTGAGGATGATTCAGATTGGTTCAGTTTAAGAATAAATCAAGACCAAATTATTAGTTATGACTTCATGAAATCTAAAACTAAATCAAATCATGAAAATCTTAGAATCAAACCATATTGAACTAGTAAACCGTGGTTCGGTTCAATTTGAAATCACAATTTTTACAAACATTGTCATCATTCACAATATGATCACAAAATATTATTCATAATCTAAAAATTGTGTAAATAATTGTTTAAAACTAATTTTACTACTATGTAAGAATAAATTTACAAAAATAAAACGTCACAACTTATGCATATATATTTGATACAAATAAAATATTTGAATGTTCACAGTAGGTCACAAATTATATATATGTATTGTGCGTACCGGATTCCGCACTAGATGAAAGTGGATCAGGGCTCCGCACTCAGTTGGACTATCTAGGGACTGAGGTTCCTGCCACAGGAAACACCGTTAGAGCTGCCCGGCCGGGGTTGGCCGGATAACCCCTCCGGTGTGGGAATTAGCAATCGGAGAAAAAATGTATTGAGAGTTGAGTTTGTATCTAAGTGTGATTTTGCTTGGGATTGTTCAGTTATCTTCAATGTGAAGTTCATGTTGTATATATAGTGTTCCTTGCTTGCTTTTCAAGATGGGTTCATGGAGTTTGGATGCTGCCAGGTGTCCTTTTAGCATTGCTCAAGGCTTGAGCACCACCTGGTAGCTGTCATTGAATGCATATACTCATTGTAGTCATGCTGATAACAAATCACATTTCTTTGATTCAACAACTTCCGTGATTCTAGGTGTAGAGGACCAGCTGAGGCGGCAACTTGCATATGCACACATTCACAACTTCCACGTTTCCTTGCGAGGTTTCCTCAGCTCGGTACCGCTGTGCCTTAGCTCGGCACCATTATGCCTTGTCTCGGCCTTTTACAAGATCATTCATGGAGATGGGCTGATCCTATTTGGATATCTTTGTACGAGCTCGGCCTATTTTCTGTTCGGCCCATAGGTTTAGTCTCGTAGCTACAAAATCACAAACTAAACCGTAAAGTATGGATGGCCTATTTTAAGAACCAAGGTCGAATCGTGCATTAAGAAAATTAAATCAAACCATGCAGTTTGGTCTGGATCGGACTGCTCTTCAAATTTTTTTATTTTTTTCTCAGCACTACAACAATGCCTCAGAAAAAAGAAGTGAAAAAAGAAAAAAGAAAAAAAAAGAGTAATAAATTACTCTCACATCCTCTAAGAATTAGAAATATATATATATATATATATAATTACTCTTGAGATTTGAAAAAATATATCAAACATCATGTTAGTTTTGTTATGATGTGTAGTATGCTTTTAACTATGTTATTAATTTAATCAATGATTTTTTGTGATATTGTTAACAAAATTATAATTTTGACCCATTAAGAATAAAATAATAATTCTGGACGGTAAGAGTAATGGCCATTTTGACACTTATTTTTGGTGAAATGCACATAAAGCTGATTTGATAAAGTGCACTTTCCGAGGTAAAATGATAATTTTATCATTTAGGGGTTAAAAGAAAAATTTTGACACTAAAATTGGTATCTCCACTGCACCTACACTATCAACACCATTATTATTATTATTGTTGGCGTCACTGCTGCAGGCTCAATACCACCCTCATCACTATTATTATCACTACTATTATCATTATTATTACTATCATTACGATCACCACCGGCTCAATACTTATTGGATCAATCTTCTGTGTAAATAAAATAATTAGAAATAAATCCAAACAAAATAAATAAATAACATATCGGATTTATTTTGTCGAACCAAATAAAATTAAGACCAAGTCGAGTGTGTGACACTCTGTCCTTAAGACAGATTCGCCCCGCTACGGTGCTTACGGTTGAGTGGCGTCTATCTCCCAGGATACAATGATCTTCACAAATTTGTAGAAGCACTTCAAACAAATTTGTTCGGCGAACCGAACCTGTGTTCTAACTCTCTGAATATTTATTCTAAAATTAGAATGAGAAATAAAATACATAGGAAAAATTCTGGACAACAAATGCAAAATAAACGGACTGAATTTTTTCCTCTGATCCGGACTGCTAGGAAAAAAGCTGTATATATAGCCAAAATATATGACTCGAACAGGTACTAAAGAATCCGAACAGGTACTGTTTGACCGATGCAAGAAAATATTTTTCAAACTTTGAAAAGTACCGTTGGAGACC